AATTTATAATGATAACAAAAATGTGCATATTTCAATCAGTACTAAGATCTCTTTTTCATCAGGTATACTGTGATATGGAGACTGATGGTGGTGGATGGACTGTATTTCAGAGGAGAGTTGATGATAGTGTTGATTTCTATCGTAACTGGGCTGACTATGAAGAAGGGTTTGGGGATTTGAAGGGAAACTATTGGCTGGGACTGGCTAACATACACAGACTCACTCCAACTGATGATAGTTCACTGAGAATAGAACTGGGAGACTTTGAAGGGAACAAACGGTTTGCTAAATACAGTCAATTCCAGGTACTTGATGCTGATTCAAAATATGCACTAATAGTCCAGGGGTATGGTGGTAATGCTGGTGATTCATTGACCTATCATAATACGATGAAGTTTTCAACTAAAGACAGTGATTCTGATTTACACTCGACTAGTAATTGTGCCTCAGAGTTCAAGGGAGCATGGTGGTTCAATAGATGCCTTTATTCTGATCTCAATGGCCAGTATTATACTGATTCAGCTAATGTTCCTATCTGGCATGGAGTCCATTGGTACCACTGGAAAGGGAACAAGCACTCACTGAAGCTCTCTGAGATGAAACTACGTCACAATTAATGCTTATAGAAGAAGAAAATGAACAGTTGAATTACTAATAATAATTATAGTTTCTTATTTTTATAAGTGATTTTATGTTAGCAAGACATCATGCAGTAGATATTTTCATTAAAATGATGATTTCAATTCTTAATGAATAAGTTGTTCATTACTTGGTCACCTTCGTATACTGCTTGCACTTGTAGTTCATTCTTATAATTATTATTGACTAATGGTACAGTATAATCCTTGAAAATTAAGCTGATAACATGTCAATATATATTCATGGGCATGGTATTGTAGTAATGTAAGTTTCGCTCAATTTTTGTGCAACTTTAATCATAAAAGTCTAAACTTGATCGGAATCAGTTTAAACTTTCTACACAACATAAGAACATGTATATGTATCAGGAGAAATTATAAAAATGGAGAATTTTTTCTCTCAATTTCAACTAATGGGAGAGAGAGAAGTCATTAATAATTAGCTACTACTACATTCTGTAGTTGCTTTATCAAAATCAAACTAATAAAACGGTAAGTATAATAAATCAACTACTGAACTAATGCACTAATCTAATGTTATATACTCTAGACTACACTACTGATTGTTCATGTTAAGTTTCAATTACCGAGCTTTTCATTGTATTGAATGGATGTATAGCAAATCACAAATGGGTTGCTATGTATGAGTGCTGGCTAATGGCTAGCATGAAGGCAGGCAGGATTGCTACGCTAGAGAGAGAGAGCTAACGATGCCTCATGTTGACACCCAAACACTGATTATAAGAATTACACAGCATGCATTATATACAAAGATAGTTCATGAATATTTATAAGTTCTGATGTGATGTCATGAGAGTCAGCTCACTACAGATGCATCATACAAATGCTGGTAGAATTCCTTGTATACTGCTGTCTTGATTTAGCAAAGATCTCAATGTTCTTTTTGTATTTTTCCAAAGTATCGATAATGTTGAAAACATTAAGAATAGCATCCGCAACAGAAATCATAATATTAAAAGCAATCATGGCCTTTCCCCATAATATCCAAGGCCTCTAACCTTTGAGGAGCATATTCTTCAGGAGGAACCCCAGCTCTTCTAGCAGCTCTTGTGATCCTCCAGGTCTCAATCTTCATCCCAATGCAGATCGAAGTGAAAATGCTCCTAATCATGTGAAGGATGCTAGTGTCGTTCAAAGTCTTTTGCATATATCTTGCAAGGCTTCTTCAACCTTTTCTTCTCCATGATCACCAGACAAAGTAAACTTATCAAGGATGTCGCATATCTTATCAATGTTTGGATCATTTCTTGTCACCCTAGCAACTTCAACGTATTTTCTGAAAGTGATCACTGATGTATCTCCATTCCTGGAGATGTACTCTATGAAGTTGTAGAGAAAGCTCCTAGCCAATTGAGGGGTGAGGCCTGTGGGGAGCTGACTTTGATGTAATTGGGTTACTCTTGACGAGGCTAGTGTATCTTGCACAGGGATCACCAACACCATCAACAATATCTTGATTGGCACTGTTAAGGTGCTCATCTTCTTGGGCCTTGACAGCTGCTTGTATATTTATAAACTTTCAGTGGCAATCCTTGCAACATGATGTACGACACATCAGTATCCTACCTGTATAGGGCAGGGTAGTCTGGGCAGTGAGACCATTAGTAGTAATTTTAGTAAAATTAATGCATTTTTCAGATGCTGTCATACTAAACTGAGATACACATAGTATATAGACCATGGTTTCAAAGTGTGTATCAGTAACGTAAGATCTGAGCTCTGAGATGTCTGCCTGAGGCAAAGCCAAGGGCAGACAGTTCCAGGGAAAAGTCTTACATTACTGATACACACCTTGAAACCATGGTTTATATAACATGGTATATGAACATGGCATACTGTAACTATATTACATGTAGATATGTGTATACATTCCTTGAATTTTGTTTGGAGAAGTAAACCCTGTTTACCTGACAACATGTGCATATGCATGGCACTGTAGAAATGTAACTGAGAATGTTCTTGATAAACAAACACACCAGCTAATGCACTATAAACTATGTCCAATATCTTGTGTGACATGTGTACACTACAACCAGTACTAGAGCTATAGGTGAACATTGACAGCTAACAAGAATCAATTATCATTTCATTATGACGTATCCAGTTCCTCTACTGATACTACTAGTCACTATTGTTCACAGCAGTTCTGCTAAATGTATTGAGGATGAACTTCCAGTAACATTCATTAATTCAACTGTCAATGCTCCATTATGTGAGATATAACTACTCACACTATGTCACTTTGTTATTAAAATCATTATTATTCTTTAGATTGTCCAAT